CGTCCCCGGCGGCTGCCTCTGCGGATAGCGGGAGAGACGCCGCTCACGCCTTAGGTCGCTGCGGACGAGAACACAACGCGCCGTCCCGCCCGAGCCCTCCCGAACCGGCGGGCGGGGAGTGAGGAGATCTCAGTATTAGGAACAGCCTTTGACTTGCATTTGAAATTAGTGGATCAAAAAGTGTTTACAGTGATCCGCACTAGATGGGCGTTGGGTTCACGTTTTAACTTTTTTTCTAACCTTGTTGCATTAAATTCGGTTTTCTGAATCCATCGCTTTGACATAGGCACGTCCCATTTACCACATTAAAAACAAAGCCCGTACTAACTGACATGTCGATCTGCTTTCTCGTTTTCTTTACGTTGGGTAACTGAATGTTATCGTTTCGTTTGTTTGTTTTTAATTAAATAATGAGCCTCTAGAAAACTAGACAGCTGGCACCTAAAAATGAAAAAGCGGAGAAACCACCTGTTTCTTAAACTCTTTGACTGTGGGCTGGGGAGCTTTAGATAACGTGACGGATTTAATTAAATCCTAGTAGCAATCTTAAGATTGTAAGTAATAGGATCTGCATTTTAGAGATGAGACGGAACCTCGAAGGGGGTGACACACAGTTAGAAAAAGCGTTTTCTAGCCTAACCCAAGTTTGTCAGGCTTCAGGCTCAGCGCCCTTCCTAGGACTGATGCTCAACCTGTGTTTCTAAATTTGATGTTTATGTGTCCAAGTTGATTAACAGATCAACCTCCTTCTATTTTTATTCTGTTATTGAGCATCTACTCTGTGTCTTACTTTTTTCACACAGGTGATAGGAGCCCATGAAATTCATATTTTCTTCTTTCAGCTGAGACTAAAGGTGTTCACTCAACATGTTTACCTACAGTGCCCAAGGTCATAAAGCTAGGAAACTGGAGAATTGAACCTGAGTCTGCCCAGTACCCTGACTTCCTCCTGGGGCCAAAAGCTCTTGACCCTGGAATCCTTATCTCTGTTCAACCTGTTGGCTCTTGGATTGCTCTCTCAGGTCCCCTGTACCTTTTGACTACTCCTTCCTGGCCTCTCGTCTGCCCTAACTGTAGGTGTTCTTTAGGACTCACTCTATACCCAGTTAATTGTCTGATTCTATCAAATATTGAATATATATGATGTCTTTGAAGCCGTAAGGAACTGAGCATAACAGCCTTGGTCACTATCCTCAGGAAGCCAGGGCCTAGGTAAAAACCCATATAGACTTACAGATGGAAGTAGGTGCTGTGAGAGAAAATCAGGGAACCTACCACATGAGGTCATGGAAGGCTTCTCCAAGGAGATGACGTTAAGCAGAGACCTGAAGGGTCGGTGTGAATGAAATCCTGAGTGGAAAGGAGTCAGGCATACTGGAAAACCCCAGAAAAGCCTAGGAGGCTGAAGCACAGAGGTGAAGGGAAGACTGGCTAGAGGACAAGTGACAAAGAGTGGGGGCCAGATCATTCCAGGCCTTAAAAGCCATTTTAGTGAGCTTGGATTTCATTCTGGGAGCTGTGGAAAACATTTGAAGGTATAAATTCTACTGTGACATGATCTGATCCTCAGTTTTAAAAGATCAGTCTGACTTTGGAAAGGGGACAGAATCAAGGGTAATGGGCAACCGAGAGTTATTTGTTCCATAGGTATACGAGTGCCTACCATATGCCAGGCGCTACTGGAAACAGTGAATGAGGCGTGCAAGGTCCTCATCATCTTACTAGTAATTCAGAGAAGGGGGAACAGGTGTGGGGTGGGGAGCAGTACCCAGTAAAGTTTAAGATGACGGTGAGCTATTCGGATGGAAAGGCCAAGTAGGCAGTTGGCCTACTTAACATATATGACTCTTCAAAGGAGATGTCTGAGCTGCAAGAAAGATCTGGGAGTTGTCAACATATAGGAATGCTAAATGCTGATGAATGTTGATAGATACATGGGTTTCGGTGTACTGTTTTGTATTTGATTGTAATTTTTCATAATAATTTTTAAACCATAGGAATGAATGAGATTGCTTGAGAGGTGGTGGATAGAGAAGGGGCTGAGGAACAGAGCCTGGAATAGGTCAACATTTACAGGCTGGATATAGGAAGAAGAGACCAGCAAGGGAGACAGAAGGGACAGGCAATGAGGTCATTGTTATGTGACAATGCCCAGGGCAAGGAAGAATGGTCACCTGTGCCAGGTGCTGCTAAAAGGTTAAGGTGACAGGAGAAAACTGGATTTGCCAACAAGGGTATTGTGGGTGACCTCGAAAGACCGATTTCAGAGGGAAAGGAGGAAGTCTTCCTGGGACACTTATTTGCCAGCACTTCTTACTTAGCTCTGCTCAGTGCCAGTCCCAGAGTTCCAGCTGCTTAGTGGACATTGCAGTAATGCCCCGCAGGTGTTTGAGATGCTTATATACCCAGAATTTAACAACTCTTTCTCTTCCAGAGCCTGCTTTCTCCTGGGTTCTCTCTCCCCAGTAATGGAACATCTTCCATTTAGTGGCTCAGGCCAGAAACCAGATGGTCTTCCCCAAGCCCATCCCTTCCTGCTCCTCCTGTCTACCTCCAATGTGTCCTCACTCTGTTTTCTCTGTCACCACTCCCCTAGCTCAACTCTCGGCAACATGCTCCCTGCCTTAATGCTGTAGTCCATCTGCCATCACTTCCCAGGCTGCTTTTTACACATAGGATTTTTTTAAAAGCTTGCTAGCATTGCACCATGTACAGAGTAGCATCCAGCTGATGGGCCTGCATGGTGCACAAGAGCCTAACCACCCTGCCCCCCTTGCTCCCCCTGTTAGCTCATCCTTCCATGCCCTGTTCTGCCTTACTGAAATGTGCCTTTTCCAGAAATGTGCCATACAGTTTCATGGCTCCATGTCCTTGGACATGTTCTCTTTGACTAGATTCATCACCAGCCTTGTCCACCTGTCTTTCTTGTCTTCCAAGACAGAGCCAGAATGTCTCCACTGGAGTTCCTTTCACTCCTCACGGTCCTTGAGCTCCCACGTGTGTGTGTAAATCTACAGTATCCATGATCACTCTGGCTGTTTACTGATCAGTTTTTCCCTTGAGACTAAGCAGGCTAGGCATCTGGTTCATCTTTATATCCACAGAGCCTGGCACATAATACTTATTCTATTTAAAGTCTAGGGCTACCATCCAAGCACTCACCAGGCCTGACCTTGCTTAGCTTACAATATCAGACGAGATCGAGTGCGTTCAGGGTGCTATGGCCGCAGACCTCTGTAGAATGTACTTCCCCCCACCCCACCCTCTGTAAAGTGCTGTACAACATATATGTGATCTTACAAAGACAACTGATTGTGGTGTTTGTCACTGTCATTAAAGAACCCCAGCCCAACCCAGATCTTATCACCCTGACAGCTGTTAGCATAGCTGCTTCCACCCCCTTCCATGATTCAGCTTGGACAGCTAGATGACCTGGGCACATTAGGCAGCTTTGGTCATCTGACACTCGAAAGATTTCAGAGTTTCACAGTCAATTGGGGATAATGCTGGGCCAGACTTTTGCATTTGTCAAAGACAGTTGCTACCCAAATTCACAAGCAAACACCACTCAGGTTCTTGTGTGTATCCTATGAATTGACTATTTCTTAGACTTATCTTTAGTTTACAAAACATTTCCATATCTCTGACCTCATTTTACTCATTCTGAAGTATATCCCTTTAGTATTACTAAAATCTGGAGCAGATGCTCAGTTGGGGAGATTTGTGTTTGGGAGGTATCTCTTACTAGTAAAAATATTTTGAACTTCATAGATCTAGGTTCATACTTTATTTTGCCACTTTTTATCTCAGGTCACTACCTGAGCCAATCTTTAAAATCCGATAATACCTACTTTGCTAGATTGTTCTGAGGACTGAGGCCTAAATGATGACGTAGACAAACTACCTTGTCCGGTGCCTAGCAGGAAGTGTATACTTAACAATTTAATCCCCTTAAGTTTTAAAGAGGAGGAGAAAAATTACTTTGGGAAATTTCCTAGTGCTGATATTTTTAGAAACTTTCTTGGAACTACTTTGATTGTGCATAATTGTTATTCCTAGGTTCTTACAATTTATTTAACAACAAAAAAATGTAAACACATTTTCTGTTCAGTGAACTTAAAATCTAAACGAAAAAACAAGAATTATACAAAGTCCCATTAACAAACCTTAAAACTTTCTACCTTGTAAATCACTAATTTTATATACTTTCCATTTTACTTCATGATATTATGCAAATATCCCAAAATGTGGTGTGTTTAAGACACTTTAAACAAATTGATACAATGTTTTTATTTTTATTGAAATATTTAATGTGATTTATTTGGAGAATTGCCTTCTTCAGAATTAGTTTATTTATATAATCAACGAGTGGATTAAAAACAGAAACAAACACCAGATGTTTTGGTTTTTGCTAAAGGGCTAATAGTTGTTGTATATAATTTATTTTTTTATTTTATAAATTTGTTTTATTGAAAAAGTAGTTTTAAAAGTTCAGTTTTTTAACTCCCCCTCTGTCAGGGATACCACCATTAACACTGTCTTAATTCTCTGGAATTTTAATATATGGTAAAAGCAAAATAGAAGAACTGTAAACGTCTTTTTACGAATGCCATTGAGGATTATATGTTTTTCTCCTATGCACTTATAAGGAAAGTTGCATGGCTGGTATTAACTTATTTTGCCTGTTTACTATAAGTTTGCGGCTTTTTAATCTGTGAAGGATTTGAAAAAATACTTTTATTTTTCTTGATAATTATTTATAGAAAACATTGTTAATTTTATATTTATATGTTTTAGTTTCTGTATTTGTAAGCTGACACATTCAAGGGTTTTTGTGTTTGTTTTGATCCTCCCCCAAGGATATTTTTTCCATGGCTTTCCAGAGAGAGAGAAGCATCATCAGTGTGCGAGAGACACATCAGTTAGTTGCCTCCCACATGCGGGCATGTAGCCTGCGACCGAGGGACGAGGGACGAGGGACGTGGGACGAGGGACGTGCCCCGAGCCAGAAGTGAGCCTGGGGCCCTTCAGTCCTCTGCCGATGCTTGAACCCCTGAGCCAGACCAGCTGCGGCTCAAAGGTCTTTTTATCTGGTTTCTAGCTATTTGTGAGAATATCCTGTGAATTAGTTTTAAATGAAGAGAATCTCTTATGGGGAGAAAATTGCCTTAATGTTTGTTCATTAAAGCAGCAAGTCCATTTTTTTTAAGCGAAAATGGAAAAAGCTGCCACGTCACTGTTAACAGTACACTGTGTGCGTGTGTCTGTGATACTGTTCAGTGCCTGCTTTTTCCGCATACGGTAATTTCTCTGAGAGATATGTGCGTGTAAATCTCCCCCTCTTTTTAATGACTGCATTCTGCTCTGAATTGGGGTATTCCCTAATTCGTTTGACCAGTCCCCATTAATGAGTATCCAAATTGCCTGTACCGGGAACAGACTGGAAACAGGGCCGTCACGAACGCTGCTGTGCATGCAGCTTGGTGCGCTTGTCTAAATATAGCTGCCTGGAGGACAGAACTGCCAGTGCTGTTACTGGGCCAAAAGGCCTACAGTTTTAATTTTGAGAAGATAATGCTACACTGCCCTCTAGGGAGATTGCGCAAATTTATAATTCCTGCCCAGCCAGCGTGGCTCAGCTGTTGAGCATTAATTTATGATCCAGGAGATCGCGGTTCGATTCCCAGTTGGGGCACATGCCTGGGTTGCGGGGCTCGCTTCCCGGTGGGGGGCGTGTGGAAGGCAGCCGTTCGATGACTCTCTCTCATCATTTTTAAAAAAGAAAGAAAAAGTTCATGGTTAAAGTATAGTTGTTACTTCAATCAAACTTATCCTCACTTTCTGACAGCATGTATAGTAGAAATTTATCTATAAGATGAAAATTAGCAAATTATGTTAATAAAGTTTCTATTCTTAGGTTTTTGTGACAGTTAATCTTGATTCTAAGGTTAATTTAAGGGTAAAATAAAATTTTCGAAATAAAGAATTTATTTCCCTATATATTTCTTTTCACATTGTTTTTTATTCTGGTAAAGTATAGGTAACATAAAATTTGCGATCTTAATAATTTTTAAATGTGCAGTTCAGTGGTGTCATTACACATTCATGTTTTGCAGCCGTCTCCAGAGCTTTTTCATCTTCCCAGTCTGAAGCTGTACCGGTTCTCCCCTCAGCCCCTGACAACCACCTTACTTTCTTTCTCTGTGAATTTGGCTACTCTAGATTTCCATGTATGTTTTTTCTAGGTCAAAAATTGCTCTACATAGCGGGAATTGCAAAGATAAACATGAGAACTCTGTTAGGAGAGCCACAGGTTATTTCTTTACACTTTATTCCTGCTGTTTAGAACACACACAGTGGGAAGCGGGCATTTTGTGGAATCCCAGGTTCTAGAAGAGTGTTCAAGGTATGTTTGCTGAATGGATTGGTGAATTTATGAAAACAGTGTATCACGTAACACTACCTTAAGGCACTGAAATCTTTGTACCTCCAGTGAGACTCAGAGTTTTGTATTTGTTACTCTACAGGGGTTTGACATCTTCCAGTAACAGACCTCGAGAAGACAGCTGGTTAAAATCCTTATTTGTCCGGAAAGTTGATCCAAGAAAAGATGCTCACTCTAATCTCCTAGCCAAAAAGGAAACAAGCAGTCTATACAAAATACAGTGTGAGTGAGAGGTCTGCCATCTTCACAGTTGACTTTTCTCCCTGTGTTCATAAGTTCATCGTTGAATTTTCTTTTGTTTCAGTTCACAGTGTTAAACCGGAATGCCTAGAAGCATACAACAAAATTTGGTGTGTATACCAAACTATCCTTTACTTGGCGGGAAATAATGATTTTAATATCGGTTGGTTCAGCTAACACTTGATAGCAGAGTGAGATCTTTGTTCCATTTTCTTAAAGCTGAACGTTCAGAGGCTCTGAAGTTGAACTACGTACGGGATTACCAAGGACGTTTTGATGTTAAGCACTCACACAGAAAATCAGCACCTAAGGTGTCGAACCTTAACTAGACTCTTAGGGTTGGAAGCAACCTTGCAAGGTTGTCTAGTCCATGAACTCATCTAGTGCTTGAGTCCTTTCTGCAAACCTCCCCACTGCTTATGCCGAAACACATTCATACTGTCCATCTCTGGGCAGCTTTGAGTGATAGGAATTAGAACTCATGTCCCTATGACCTCCATTGTTTCCAATGTCGTGTCTAAGTAAAACTGTCCTATTCGTAGCTGCCGTTTCTTCCCAAGTCTTCCGTTTACCAGGATTCAAGTCCCCTCAGCAGATTCTCATGATTTGAGATCCATATGCTCTTATAGAACTTGTGAACTTTTAGACTGAAGATAAAAGTGTATCACTTCTTAATTAAGTTACTAGGAATAGTATTTTAATGATGAATGTTGAGCAAATATAATTAAAAAGCTTTTTTTTTTACTTTTAAAATTTGCTACTTTTGTAAGAAAGCAAATGATTCTGTCACCAGAATCAGCATAATTTTCAGAAGGAAAAATCTGTTTTATTTTTGGACGTGGTTTGTGAAATATAATATTAGCATAGACTATAACATTACCACAGCACAGTTCCCTTTATTAAAAAACGCCCTAAAACAAAGCAGATACTTATTTCTAAATCTTTTCTCGTAAAATGAAATTATTTCTCTATGCTGATATTTCCTTGGGTTAACTTTCCTGTCCTGTTTTTATTGCTTCATCTCCTGTCTCAGATTTCTGTCTCTTCATATTTCTCTTTGGATGTCTTGCTCTTCCTTCAAACTCAACAAGTAGAATCACTTTGCTGTTTCAGCATCCCTGTGTGTCAGTCACCATGGTTTTATTCAACCCTCTCCTTAGTTTGTGATGAGTTACTAAAGGCTGTGCCTTCTTCACTTGACACGTATTTTAGTCTCTTTGCTTGTCTCCTTCTCAGTCTCCCTTCCTCTGCCCGTTGAGCCCCATTTCCAAGTAGCCTGCTCCTTTCTGACTCTTTCCTGGACTTGTAACCGTACCTGTACTTCCACCCCACGCTGCAATCCATGGCTGAAAAGTTTGACAAATTGATCTGCTTGAGTTCAGTTTTGTCCATCCTGTTGTTTTTCTCTTTTCAATGAAATTTCAGCAACTCCTCGCTTTCGGCAACATAGAGACTTAACTCCTCCCGGTTTGTCAGAGCCCCAACAATGAGGTTCTTCCCAACCCATCCAGTTCCGGGCACTGTGTACCTTAAACTTCCATTTAGGTAAGGCCAGGGCTTCCAGGATTGGCTGCAGATCCATAGATGACTTTGTATTGGTGAAAAACCTGTGCCCCATTTTCAGTCCTCAGCCCCTTTCTGGACCCCACCTGGGTCATTTCTACAGGCTTCCTTCTTCCACATTGGCTCCAGTTCAGGGTTGTTTATTCCCTGCTCATGTCATAGGGCAAAAAGAAGGCCCGTTTCCATTTCCCTAACAATCTTTCCCCACCCATTTCCATTAATCTCTTAGCTCTGAACATAAGTCTATATGAGCCAGTACAATGACCATCATACCATGTGTATTTTTTGAAGGGTGGCATTTACTTTTATGGGTTATTAGTTAGATGCAAGACCGTTCTGAGCCCGGCCAGTGTGCCTCAGCAGTTGAGCATCAACCCAGGATCCAGGAGATCGTGGTTCGATTCCCGGTCAGGGCACATGCTGGGGTGGGGGGCTCGATCCCCAGTCAGGGGCTGCAGGAGGCAGCCGATCAATGACTCTCTCATCATTGGTGTTGTTATCTCTCTCCCTCTCCCTTCCTCTCTCTGAAATCAATAAAGACATATTTAAAAAAAAATTTTTTTTAAATACCATTCTGAGCTTTTCTCTGTTAACTATTAATATACACCCAGTCCTGGTGCCCCAACCCTAGTGGTGATCACTAGCCTAATATCACTCAGTGTCAGCAAATCATTTGAATAGCTTCCATTCCTGATCCTTGATGCCTTTTTGCATCCATTGTTGAACCTGTATTGTACTTTTTCCCATAATTTTTCTATTCAGAAAGTATACAGGCTTTAGCTTTTCTCTTGGTATGGCATAGTTATGTCTTTTTCCTTTGCCTTATGTTGTATGTTCATTTGGATTCTGTCACACTGACCGCCTTGGGAACTATTGGAGTTGTGTCGTGTCCTAGCTCTGTCTTCTTCCTTAAGGTCGGTTTTTCTCTGCCCGTTACCGCTTCCTGATTGTGCCCCTTCTGTTGTCTCCCCTATCTTAACTGTTACTTTCTTCCCTGTCTTATTTTTCCCATTCTCTTCTCCTACTATTTCTATTTCCCTCATTCTTCCTGTCTTTGAAGCCAGCAAAACTTCGCTTTCATACACATCATCATTCTTAAGCACTTCTCTCTGGAATGGCAAACAGTAGACCCATAGTTCTTGACTCTTGGAACCTTTGGCTCTTTTTTTATCATTTTTATCACTATGCTCAAGTTGCTTACAAATGTTCTAGATAGTTGGGGGTATCAGAAACCTAAGCTTCTGATATGTGGGGTATCAGTAGAACAGAATTCAGCTAAAAGGTTAGTTTTGCATGTTGTTTTATTATAAATATATTCTGAGGTCAGTTATCAGAACATAGAATACATAGATGCCTTTTTTCTATTACTGATCATGTGTTGTCCACCTGGTACAATTTTGTTGGTGGTTTAATCAGTGTTGCTATCTCTTCTCTTTAAGTCAAGAGGTGTTGCCAAAGATTCACGAAGATAAGCATTACCCTTGTACCTTGGTGGGGACTTGGAACACGTGGTATGGCGAGCAGGACCAAGCTGGTAGGGAGCAGAAGCCTTTGGAATAAACACTTGTTCCTTAACCCTTTAAATAATATTTAATTTAATGCTTGTTTTATCATCAGAGCTTTCCAAGTCTCAGTCTAGTTTTATGGTTAAAGTCGTTTCTCCAGTAATGCATTGCAAAAAAATTTTTTTATTAATGTTTGAATCTATTATTGTAACATTATAGTGTAACTCATAGGCCAGCACATGGCACATTGTAGTTTTGTCCTGTGTTAATATTGTGCACATCTAGAATGTTTTCAAGGTAAAGTATCATGAAACTCTAAATGTATGTTATCTTTTAAAATATATTCCAGTCCACCTCTGGAGGTATGAAGGAGGCTATCCCGCCCTCACGGAGGTCATGAATAAACTCAGAGAAAATCAGGTAATGATTTTAAAAACGTTTACATACTTACACTAATGATACAGGAGATATTAGTACAGAACTAAATGACTCTTTTGTCATCAAATACCATTAGTGAACTGTTTTTTGTAGTAAAAATTTTATTATGCAAACATAAAGTAACCAGTTATAATACTATTAAAATAACAGTTCATCAACGTGAAAGAGAAACGTCTGTCAGTTGCCTCCCGTGGTGCTCTGACTGGAAATTGAACCCACAACTTTTCAGTGCGCAGGTCGTTGTTCCTACCAACTGAGCCACACCACCAGGGCTAAAATACAGTCCTTACTGTAAAAGTCACTTGTACTTAGACACTGATAAGCTGGTATTTGAAACCGATAAGTCAAAGTTCTAGGCACTACCAGCCGTGGGTTTACTGACACGTACTTGAGGAACTTCCAGCCGCATGTTCTGTACCTCGGATTGACTGCTCTCCTCCCCCTCCCTTCTCTAATAGGTGCACATTGGTGGGGAGAACTTTAACAGCCATACGTTATTAGGAAAGAAAACCATTTGTATGGCTTCCCAGTCCAAATATAAATGGCTTTTGAATTCTTTGATTTGTTTTTTGTTTTTTGAATTTTTATGAGTTTTATCTGAGCCAAACTGATGACATGCGAGGAAAGCAAGATCTCAAATGCTCCCGATTCTTTGATGGTTTGTAGTCTTCATGTCGCCTCTATTATTTATGCTGTCACACACTGTTGGGGGAACCTAAACAGTGGGAAATTACATTTGTTTATATTGTCATTTAAGTAGTTAGGATGGCTGTATAGCTTGTCATCTAAACCTGGACACTTGAGAGTGAAAAGGAATGCTAATAGTCATTACGCCAGTTCGATGTAAACTGAGACTGTCTCGGCAGCTGGGACCCTATTTATAATAGCATTCTATTCTAGGAGGAACATAAATGTTACTAAGCGGATTTATGTATAAATATTAGAAGATTTCATGAGCACATTTTTTCACTCAAAGGAATTTTTGGAATTCCGGAAGGCAAGAAGCAACATGCTTCTCTCTAGGAAGAATCAGCTGCTGTTAGAATTCAGTTTCTGGAATGAGCCTGTTCCCCGGTCAGGACCCAACATATATGAGCTCAGGTCTTACCAGCTTCGAGTAAGTACCGTAAAACGAGTTAACTGTCCCTCATCCTTCCCCAGAGAAGCATGAGTGCCCCTTAGTGCTGGCAAGTTGAGTGTATGTTCTGCGATGCATTTGGCGTTATATCTTGATTGCCTTGTTTTCTTTCCTGTATGATTCCCTTCTGTTTTTAATCTTCTTAACTTCTCATTCCTTCTCTTCTGCTAAGGGTTCGTCTCTTATAACTGTATACATAATTCTTATTGTTTGACATTATGTAGTATTTCTGTTTTTAAGAGGAAAGACCTAAAATGCAGGACTAGGTACAATAGATAGCATCTGATGGAATTGAACTAGAGCAACTAATAAACGTGTGACTGTTGAATAAGTTGTATGGCACCGTAAGATTAAAAGGGGATAAGTAATATTTGTAAGACTTTCTAGATGTTTGCCTACTAAGTGACTACTAGCAAGAAAGCCCAGATAGCAACACTGCTCAAAGGAATACATATCAGTAGATCTCCATGGTCTAACACTCACCATTATACTGGAAAAAATAAAGTGATGTCCTTACTCAGTTTACTTAAATTGAATTTTTAAAAATTTCACAATAAAGTCTGAATGGGTACCAACAGTTTAACAATTAAGTACATCTGGAGGATGGGCCTACCCATAGTTGTGATAACCATAACTGGATGACTTATGGTGGGGCAAAAGTAGGCTTATAGGTGTTTATATAGAAAACAATACAATAATTAATAATACAAAAATAAACTGTGTTTCACATACAACTGTAAACCTACTTTTGCCCCACCCTGTATGTTGTCTTATATGAAGCCATAGACTGTTATTTCCTCTGAGGGATAAGTATGAACCCAGTGAATAATAATATTTTGTTACATTTTTTTTATTTGTTACATCTCACATTATTAAAAGTTAATTTTTAAGTTAGTTTTCTCATTTGTTATATTATACTTCTATTCACTGTTTCCTCACAAAAGAACTAACAAACCAAAATCTAAATTTCTTTCCAGCCGGGAACTATGATTGAATGGGGCAATTACTGGTGAGTATATTACCAAATGGTGCATTTGTAAGTCTTACTAATAGGTTATTTTAGGCCATCATGTTAATTCTAGGAATAAATCCTGGGGATAATGCTATGATTTGATACTGGATTGTTGTGTTGTGTTGACATTTTTATTATGAAATTTTTCAAACAAAACTAGAGAGAATAATCCCGTGGATTCCCCCCTTTCCATACCTATTACTTAGCTTCCGTAATTATCAACACATGGCCAATCTTGCTTAGGTCTAACTCCCGCGACCCACATTTTTGGGAAGTAAATCCCAGACAACATACCATTTCGTCTATAAGTATTTTAGCATATCTCTCTAAGAGATAAAGACTTCTATTTTTTTTAAACAAAACCCCAGTGTTGCATGAGTTTATTTTATATTCTTCTTAGACATTATCTTTTCTGAAATGTTGCTTTTGTCACATAAACAAAGCACCAAAATGGTAGGGTTGCTACTTTTTTCTTCTTAGTTTAAGTAGCAGAATACCAGTTTCCCCCCAAACTGATGTATAGATTCAACACAACCTCAAAGTCCCAGCAGGCTTTGGAAATGCAGAGGACCCAAAATAGGTAAAAATCTTAGAAAAGAAGCACAAAGTTGGAGGACTCACTCTTCTCAATTTCAACACCGACTACAGAACTAGAGTAATCAAGACACTGTGGTACTGACATAAGGACAGGTATGCAGATCAATGGAATATAATTGAAAGTCTCTCAGAGATTTGAGCAATTAGTTTTTAATAAATGTACCAAGGCAGCTCAATGGGGACAGATAGTCTTTTCAACAAAGGATGCTAAGACAACTGGATATCTTTGCAAAAAAGATGAATTTAGACTCCTACCTCACTTTATATACAAAAATTAATGAAACATGAATTGTAGACCTAAGTATAAAACTTTTAGAAGAAGCCATAGAAGAAAATCTTTGTGACCTAGGATTAGGCAAAGAGTTCTTAGGTATGACACCAAAATCAAGATATTCAGAAGAAAAAAGTTGATAAAAAACAATTCATCAAAATTTTAAAACTTTTGTAATTAAAAGGACATCATTTTAAAAATTAAAAGACAAGTCATGAACTGAGAGAAAATTTTGCAAATCATAAAGGACTTGTATCTAAAATATATAAAGAAATCCTTCAACTCCATAATAAGACAACCCAGTTTAAAAATGGGCAAAGAACTTGAATATGTAATTCTCCAAGGATATACAAATGGCCAAAAATCATATGAAAAGATACTCAGCATCACTAATCATAAGAGCAATGCAAATCAAAACCACAATGATATATCATTTTACACTCCTTAGGATGACTGTTAGTAAACAGAAAATAGCAAGTATTGGCAAAGATCCAGAGAATTGGTAACTTTGTGCACTGTTGGTAGGAATGTAAAATGGTGCAGCCAGTACCGAAAACAGTACAGAAGTTCCTCACATTAAAAATAGGTTTATCATATGATCCAGCAATCCCAGTACTGAATATATATTCAAAAGACCAAAGCAGCACCTCAGAAAGATACTTACACACCCGTGTTCATTGTAGCACTATTCACAGTAGCCAAGAGGTGGAAACACCCCAAATGTCCGTCAACAGATGAATGGATAAAGGAAATATGGTGCATCCATATAAGGGAGTATTTTGAAACCTTTAAAAAGGAAACCCTGCTACATGCTACATTATGGATGAACCCCGAGGACATTATGCTATGTGAAGTAAGCCAGTCACAAAGGGCAAATAGTGTATGATTCCACGAATACAAAGTATCTAAAGTTATCAAAATCACAGAAACAGAAAATGAAAATGAAAATGTGGTTTCCAAGGGCTGCGTGGAGGGGAGTTGGTGTTCAGTGGGTATAAAGTTTCAGTTTTGCAAGATGAAAAGGTTCTGGAGATCTTTTGCACAACAATGTAAATATGTTTGGCACTACTGAACTGTACAGTTGAAAAGAGTTGAGGTAAATTTAATGTTTTGTGTTTTTTACCACAGTGAAAGTAAATAAATAAAACCATAAAATTAAAAAATATATATTTTAAGTGGGCAAAGGGTTTAAATAAACATTTCACCAAAGGAGATGTATGAATGCCTAATAAGCACATGAAAAAGGACTCAGCATTATTAGTTATTATGGAAATGCAAAGTAAAACCACAGTGAGATACAGTTTCACACCCACTAGGATGACTGTAACTAAAAACCCAGGTATAACGTGTTGGTGAGGTTGTGGATGAATTAGAACCCTCATAAGTTGCTGGTGAGGAAAATGAAATGGTACAGCCACTTTGGAAAACAGCCTGCCAAGTCCTCAAAACGCTGAGCAGGGAGTTACCGTAGGACCCGGGGCATGACCAGGTACTCCTAGGTGTGCACCTAGGCAAGTCAAGCATCCATCCGTACAAACTTAGACACAGTCATCATAGAGAGCATTTTTCATAATCACCAAGAAGTGGGAACAAGCTAAACACTCATCCACAAATGAATAAAGAAATGTGGTTATATCCATATAATGGAATACTATTCAGCAATAAAAAGGNAAACAAGCTAAACACTCATCAATAAATGAATAAAGAAATGTGGTTATATCCATATAATGGAATACTATTCAGCAATAAAAAGGAATGAATATACTACTGATACATGCTACACATGTAGATGAACCTCAAAACCATGCTATAGGAAAGAGTCAGATGCGAAGGAGTACATAGTGTGTGATTCCATTGGTATGAAATGTCCAGAAAAGGTAGACCTATAGATACAGAAAGATTAGTGGTTGCCTAGGGCCAGGGGTGAGAACAGAACGTGATTGCAGATGGGCACAAGGGATCTTTTCGCACAGCTGGATGTGGCAGTGGTTGCACAAGCCTATACATTTACCTAAAAAGCATAGAATTGTACACTTACGTGAATATTAGGTAAAATAAACCTTGATAAAGCTACCAATGACTCACGTCACTAAAGAGAATTTATACACGAATCCAAGGATGACTCAAAGTGAGGAAACTGATTAACACAAAACAATCGAGGCCGGAATTAGGTGCCCAGCACACATGCTGTGGCCTCTGCAGCCCCAGCACGTCGCTTCCATGCCTTTGTTAGAGGATGTATCACGCCCAGCAGCACCTTCGGTTTCTGGTTCTGCAACCGTCCGCAAGGACTGGCACATGCTGGGTGGTCAGTAAACGTGGAGTGGGTGGCAGAAACTAGTGGTCACATACGGAAAAAAAGTCAGTTGCAGTTGCCAAATTGTAAACAAGCTGTATGCGTTCGTGGAAAGGTTATGGGATAGCCACGCAGTGGAATTTTACACAGTGGTTAAAGTAAACCCGATCTGTGCCTGTTAACGGATCGACGTTGAAAACCACGTTGAAGAGAAAGAGTTAAGGAATATGTACAACATGATGTCCTTTATGTAAATTTTAAAAAGAGACAATAAACAAGATATTTAACAAGAGCTATATAAAAAGATGTAACTTGTTCATAGGTACATACGTTTGAAGTAGAAATACAAAAGCATGGACAAGAAGACTCGTATTCAAAAGAGAGAACTTCTTCCAAAGAGCAGTAACTGATGGGGCAGGAAAACGGGCGGGTGAGGAGACCTAAGAGGTAGCTGCGGTGTTCATTGCCTCTTTAAAAGATCTGAAGCAAATACGATAAAATGTAGTGTTCATGTTTTTAAGATCTAGATGAGTAGAATGGTTGAAGTATTTTGTAATTAAAAGAAAATTTTTAAGTCATCTTAATTCATATTCAGAAGGTACTTGATGAGATTTGACACATTTTATTAGAGACACTAATTCCTCATTTAAAAACAAAACAAAACACTGAGATTAGGAATAGAGAACACGTTATTTAAATCAGAGATTGGCACAGACTTTTCTGTAAAGGACCAGACGGTAACTGCGATAGGCTTCGTGGACCATGCCGTCCGTCACAGCTGCTGAACTCTGCGTCATAACGCGGAAGCAGCCAGGGGCAGCTTGTGAGCGAGTATGTGACTTCCAACAGCACTGTATGGATGCTGACATTTGAATTTCATAATTTTCATGTATTATGAACGAATTTTTTTCCTTTTCATTTTTTAAAATTTTTATTGTTGAAAGTATTACCGATGTCCCCTTTCTCGCCCCATTGATCCCCTCCAACTCTTGTCCGCCCCACCCCGGGCCTTCCCCACACTGTCGTCTGTGGCCACGGGTTAGGCATATAAACTCCTTGGTTAATGCCCCCCAC